TAGCACAGCGAAGAGCAGAGGCTCCAAGGGGTTCGCCACCATCGCGAAGAAGCCGAAGCAAGCAAAGACTATGAGGCAGGTCATCGAGCAGGGGCCCATGGCGCAGGTCGGCAACTGCGCGAAAACGTGATCAAGCCCCTCCGAGCTCACGACCATCATGAGGAGGTGCGCGAAGGGTCAGGAAGGCGCGGCCAGGGGGGGGCCTCGCCGCGCCGCTGGACCTCGAGGGCGCGGGCCCCGGAGTAACCATCCCGATGGGGCCAGATCCTGGCGTGGTTCGTCCTGCGGGCTAGCAGACCTGACCTACGAGGAGGAGTGCGTCGAGCCTGGCCACGAATTCGAGAACAACTTCTAGCAGCACCAAATAGCACGAGGTGGCCACAAAGACGAGAAAGTGATAGGCGCGCTCATATTATAGCTGTGGAAGGTCAACTGGGACGCGAAGACAGCGGACATCCGGGGGGGGCGCGGGCGGAGGAGGCTGGCAACTGCATCCAGGCGATGGCAACGACGACCCAACGGAGCTGCTGGACGCGATCGCCATGGGCCTCAAGAAGAATGCCTGGAGCAAGCCGACACCGCAACGGAGCAGGGCTACATCATGGGGCCGACACCTACGACCTGAAGATGCAGCCGGGGCGACTGCGGAAGCATGGGGATATCCATCTATTTGGGGCGCCTCTCACGGCGACGTGCGCAGGGGCACGGTCACCGCGGAGGAGGAAGGACGCATTCGGCGAGGGCGCTTGTAACTTGTGCGAGCGCGGCGGAATCGCGGACGACTTCCACGTCATGTCTGGCGAGTGCAGCTGAAGGAGAGACCGCGGCATGCACAGGGAGACGGAGAACTTGGTTCACAGGGCCGAGCAAGGGACAGACGACGGAGCCGCATTCTTGTTGAGGAATTACACCCCGAGCGTGGACCGCCCCGCCGGTGTGCAAGACCGAGTGCTCGCCGCTGAGGACGGGGAAAGCCGCGAACATCATCGACGAGAACCAGGGCGAGCAGCTGCGCGCGGCGGGGGGCACCATGGTAGCGCGTGGCGACGGGAGCGGAGGGGCCCATGGAGACGACGCCGGATACAGGAGATGCGGATGGGGCTGGGTCGCGGTGGAGATGGTCAACGGGCAGTGGGCAAACGCGGCAGCAGTTTCGGGGCCTCTACCAGGAGCCAGGCAGTCCAACAACAGATCATAGATCACGGCTTTCTTGGATTGCCTGTAGCCGACCGAGGGCAACCTGACCTTCTACGCGGACGCCGAGATATCGTGCAACGGATGGCAGGCCAAGAGGTACCATATCAACGGCTACGAGACGGCGCGCGGGGGCCTATGGAATAATATCAAGCTAAGGCTCGACAGCAGAGGAGAGGCTGAAGTGCGCGTCAGGCGCATCGAGAGCCACATGACCAAGGGGCGAGCTCAAGAGCGAGGTGTGGCCATGGCAGCATGCCGCGGCAACGTGAAGGCGGACGAGCTGGCAGGTGCGCCGCGACCACCCGCGAGATCTTGGAGGCGCAGATGAGCTGCTACAGTTGGACCAGGGCGACTTCGCGCCCGGGGCGAACGCGGATTGGCCAGGCGCGCAAGGAGCTGTTCGAAAAAGGTAAATCCGATGACGTGGGGGGAGAAGGACGAGACCAGAAAGAAAAGTAAGCGCGAGAACAACCCGAAGGGGGACTTCGAGGAGCTGAAGCGGAGATCCCGACGCCGGCTGATCGTGGAGAGCAGGGCGCTGCGCTGCGCGAGGTGCACGGAGTCAATCGGAAACAAACAGAGATCATTGGTGGCGCGTTGGTGGATCCAGAGATGCTGCGGTGAGGGCGCTGGACCGAGATGGAGACAAGCCAAGAGGAGCAACACAAAACACGGAGAGTGGTTTCGACAAGGATGCAGGCAGACGACCTGCATTCTTACGAGGTCAGCGACGAGCGGAAGTTCGGCCACGACAGGCATGCAGGCAGACGACCAGCAGAACTACGTGGCCGTCGTGGAGGAGCCCGAGATGGCGGACGACGCCCAGGGCTCCTGAGTGGTGAGCTCTCGCCAGCGCCGCTCGCCCCGCCAGTCGATCGGCTGTGAGAAAATTTTGGAGAACAGAAATTTAGAGTTTGCTAGAACCGAAGCGCGCGCGAAACGCGCGCGTGGTTCCAACATATAGGTACATAGATCATTGTCACGCACATGTAATGTTACATGTGTTTGTGTGTGTAGATGCACACATGTTTGTACCCACGCATGTGTATCGCAATCTGTGCATCCACAGGCATACACATTCCCATGCCCATATATATATATATATATATATATATATATATATATATATATATATATATATATATATATGTGTGTGGTGTGTGTGTGTGAAAGAGCGTGTTCTACCGCTGCTGGCGGAAAACGGGGGGGTCACTACCGGTTCGAACCCCTCCTCCCCTCCCCCCCCCCTCCGGAAAACCGGGGGGGGTCACTACAGGTTCGAACCCCCCCCAGCTCATCATGAAAAGGGGGGGGGGGTCACTACCGGTTCGAACCCCTCCCCCCCCCGCCCTCTCGAAAACCCAGTGGGGGTGCGGACAGAGGTGGGGACGGTGTTGGTGGGACAGTGGCGAGGGGACAGCGGGACAGTGGTGGGGACAGTGGGACAATGGGACAGTAGAGGGCCGGTAGTGGTGGGGACAGTGGTGAGGACAATGGTGGGAACAGGGGGAACAGTAGACAGTGGTGGGGACGGTGGTGGTGGTGACAGTGGTGTGGGCACAGTGGGAATGAGGTGGAAACAATGGGACAGTGGAGGGTACAATGGTGGTGGGGACAGTGGTGAAGGCGGTCAATGGTGGTGGGGACTGGTGAATCGGGAGCGGAAGAAGGACGTACATGTACATGAATCCACGCTGGTTTCGAGAGCACGAATTGCACAAATGTTCGTATATCGCGGCCGGTCTCGCGAATCGAGGGGCCGCGTTCATGTACATAGCTGGGCGCGTACGTCCTTTGTGGGCTCCCTAGTGAAGGCGGTGGCGAGGACGGCGGTGGGACAATGGGACAGAGGTACAGTGGGGACAGTGGTGGGGACAGTGGGGACAGTGGTGGGAACAGTGGGACAGCTCAGTGGGACAGCGGCGGAGTCGGTGGGACAGTGGGGACAGTGGGGATAGTCGGGCAGTGGTTGGGGCCGTGGAGACAGTGGGGAGAGTGGAACCGTGGTGGGAACAGTGGTGGGGACAGTGGGGACAGTGCGACAGTGGTGGGGGCACTGGTGGGGACACAGTGGGGACAGTGGTGGTGAGGACAGTGGTGCTGGGAACAACAGTGGAGGATGTGATGCGGACGGTGGTAGGGACCGGGAGTCGTTTGCTGGCGGTGAGTGGGGGGGGGTGGGGAGGGGTTCGAACCGGTAGTGATCCCCCTCCGGTTTTCGAGGGGGGGGGGGGTCAAACCGGTAGTGACCCCCCCCCGGTTTTCCGGATCCAGAGGCCCGGGGGGGGGGGAGGGTTCGAACCGGTAGTGACCCCCCCCGGTTTTCAGAGGGGGAGGGGGGGGGGGAGGGGTTAGGGGAGGGGGGGGTTTTGCCGGGGTTGGGGGGGGGGGGAGCGGGGGGGGGGGGGGGGGGGGGCAGGATTTTCGGACGGGGGGGGGGGCGACCCCCGGGCTCCGGAGGAAAAGGTTGGCAATTTTCCACAGTAAAGCGGCGGTGGATCACGCTCTCTCTCTCTCTCTCATATATATATATATATATACATATATTTATATATATATACATGTGCACACATAGCAGGTGTATATACCCACGCTTATGTATACGTGCGTGCGCGCCGTGCGTAGGTAGGTACTGCAGATGGCTGCGCCTTCCTGCGCTCACCGCTCTGCCCGCGCAACCTGCCTGGCCCGATTCTTTCTCCTCCAGCTTGCCACCAGGGGTCGCCGCGCCATGGGGCGAAGGCCGGCGCCACCGCCGAAGGGGGCAGCAGGCCGGGCCCGAGGGCGCCTCGCCTCTCGGGCGGCGCTGGTGGCGATCGGCTGCGCCCTCGGCGGGGCCGCCCTCGCCCTGGCGCGCCCGCTGCCGCGGCCGCCACCGCCCGCCCGCCGCGCCTTGTGCCCAGCCCCGCCCGCCGCCCAGCAGCGTGCCCTCGCTGGGCTGTGGCGGCGGTGGTGGCCTTCGCCGCACGGCCGCACGCGCGCGGCCTCGGCCGAGGCCGGCCCGCGGGTGCGCGGGCGTGCCGCCACTGGGGAGCCGGAGTCGGGGGAGGGGGAGGACGAGGTTGTGGAGCCCGCAGCGCTTACGGACGGCCGGGGGCGGGGTGGCGATGAGGTCGAGTACCCCGCTGTAGGGCCGGGGTGCGACGTGGGCAACCCGGCCAACGAGAAGATAGAGAGAGGTACATGGAAAGGGCGAACCTTCAAGAGCTTCATCGCCAATGAGCCACAGCTCTGCCGTGAAATTCTGTACCGATCGTTCGTCGATAAATTCCCCAAGGGGCAATGGTACCGTCTCGTGCTCTATTTGATCGCGAATCGGCCCCTCGGCACTGGTAAGCACCAAATATTGACGTACCATCAGGTGCTAGAGAAGGACCCTTATTATTGCAGGTGGGTCATGTACAACATTACAAAGGCGAATACTGTTACACCAGGTAATGTTGATGTGTTTAGGTCTTGGCTGTTGCTGAATGAGAGCGCTGTCCTTGGTCATGTGGTACCCAACGTGCTCTACCGAGGCCCACACAAGGGTATGACCTTCGAGCAGGCCCTCGAGAAGGACCTGGCGTACTGCCAGTACACCGCGCGCTGCAAAAAGCCCAGTGAACACAGAGACCAGAGGTTCTGGAAATGGTGCAGAAAAAACGTCCCGAGGTTCGAGGTGCCGGAGTCTGTTCCCAACCAGCGCATTGGCGTGGGCCCATTCCAGGAGCTGACATACCAGGAGGCGGTCGACCAGAAGCCGGCCTATTGCATTTGGTGGCTCAACAGGGCCCACGCCAGGTACAATCCACACCCGCGGTATGCTCTATCCAGCTGTGCTGCCGCGTGAATCCGCCGCCTCGCTTGGGGACGGGGCGCCGGGGGGAGGGGCGGGACCCAGGGGACACTTCAGTATCTCAGCGAGGCTCACGCCAGGTACCAAGCACACCCGCGGTGTGCTCTGCCTGGTGGTGCCGCCGCGCGAGATGCCGCCGTCTCGCCTTGGGGGGGACGGGGCGCCTCGGGGGAAGGAAGGGGGGGTGGTGCTGGGAGGGAGCCCGCCAGGGGAGGGCCTGGAGCCTGGAGGATTGAGGCGGTCGACTAGACGTACGAGTGTCGGGGAAACGTGAGGCTCGAGTACGCCAGAAACTCGGGCATGCCGACGTTTTCTGACGAGCGCGTCCTGGATTTGGACGGAGCAGGTGTCGTGGGATGTTTGCAGGGGGAGCTCGCGTCACATTTCAGACTGGGTCTCGTCATTTTCACGATGGCCTCGTCCGGCCAGCTCAGGTCCCCCGAATACGAGCCTTGCGGCTCCCCGAGAGTGACCTTTCGCCGGAGTGACTTCGGTGCGGGCCCACTGGGGTCCTCCGAGCGCTAAACGCGAAGCGCTGGCAGCGGCTTGCGCGCCCGGGCTTGGCCACCCTGCGCTCCCCGCGAAGTCGCGCACCAAAGGTCACGCTTGCCGAGGGTCACTCTTGCGCGTGGCCGGAGTGGGATGGAAAGAATGAATCCGAAGACTACGGTCGAGCATCTGATTCAGAAGCCTCCTCCCGACAAGTTCGGCCAGCGCTTCTCAACCAACTTGCGGGAAAGCTGGCCCAGTTTCTTATGCACGCTGGCCCCCTCCAGCGCCAACAGCAGAGTGTTGCCCAGGCTCGTTCAAAGAAGCTTTCAAGAAGCTGGCCCAGACGTCTTTAATCATGATTTTCTGGATCATATTGCCAGCTGCAACAGCAAATCGTGTCCATTCTGAACGGGACTCGCTGTCGGCGTCGCTGCGGACTGTGTCCCTTTGCGGCGGAAGGTCGCCTGCCCAACAGCGGCCGCCGTCGTTTTTGGACAGCATCTGTTGTGGGGCATCGTGCCCATTTTTTCCCTACCTAGGCTCTGCCTAGAAGGGTTCTTACTCGCTTTGCTTAAAGGGCCGGGCAGTGCAACGCGTCCCGGGCGGTTCTCCCGGTCCCTTAGGAGCCAAGCAAAAGCAACAGCAAAGGTAAAAGCAAACGCGCGGTTCCCCCAGTTGCGCTGCCTGGGTGCCAAGCAGAAGCAAACGCAAAGGCACAAGTGAAGGCAGAAGCGAAGGCAAAGCAAAAGCATAGCATAGCATATCATAGCATAGCGCAGCATAGCATAACGGCGTGGCGTCGGCCGTTCTGGCGCTACTACTACTACTACTACTACTACTACTACTACTACTACTACTACTACTCCTGCTACTACTACTACTACTACTCCTGCTGCTGCTGCTGCTGCTGCTGTTGCTGTTGCTGCTGCTGCTGCTGGTACTACTACTACTACTACTACTACTACTACTACTACTACTACTACTACTACTACTACTACTACTACTACTACTACTACTACTACTACTACTACTACTACTACTACTACTACTACTACTACTACTACTACTACTACTACTACTACTACTACTACTACTACTACTACTACTACTACTACTACTACTACTACTACTACTACTACTACCACTACCACTACCACTACCACTACCACTACCACTACTACTACTACTACTACTACTACTACTACTACTACTACTACTACTACTACTACTACTACTACTACTATTAGTACTGCCGCTACTGCTACTGCTACAACTACGACGATGAGGAGAAGGAGGAGGACGGCGTTTACCGCTCCTACTAATGTTGCTTTCCTAGAGGCTCCATCTCCTAGGTAGGGTCTCACGGGGATATTTATCCGTATCCATCTCGGGCTTCCACATAGAGGGGGGGATGCCACGGGTGCCACGGGCCTCTTCTCATGGAGCCTGCTGGTCGGGAGGACATTTTGGGAGGAAGGCGAAAAGCGCAGGGATCTGGTCCAGAAAAGAGTGCATGCTGGTTCGATGCGTCGAGGGGGCGGCTTATTACTTCGCACCAAGCAAGCGGAGCTAAAACGCAAGGGCCCAACACTTTCACACACCAACCCCTGAAAAGCGCGGTGGCGGATTCCAGGTGTGGCTGAAGGAGAACATGCCAGTGGAGCTTTTGCATTGCATTCCACGAGCGTCCCAGAAGTCCGGCCGTTCCATAGGCATGGCTGTTCGGGACCAGGTGCTGTGGGACGAGCCATTCCGGGGCAGCTGGTTCAGCGACGTTGTGAGGCAGCACCCAGACTACTGCGAGGAGTTCTGCAGATCCTTCAAACTGGAGGACGAGAAGGACGATCATCTGATAGGTTTCTATGAGTTCATCAAGAGTGTTAGGCCAGATCTGGCTACACTGGGCAAGGGCAGGAGCAGACAGGGCAAGAGCAGGAGCAAGACTGCGATGCCAGTGCGGGAGGCGCAGACACTTGTTTGACTACCTTGCGGCCTCGCCGCTTTTCTCTCTTCGACCTGCTCATTCTACTGCTCCCCCTGGGGGATGCAAGTGTCTGCGGATTGCTGGCTATCGGGAAAAATTGCACCTTGTCGTTGTTTATTTGATGACGAAGCGTTTCGGCGCTCCCAGTGAATGCAGATTCTGTCCTCCGCCCTCGTCCTCTTCGCGCCCCGCACCCATGCGCTTCTCTACTGCACAGTCGTTGTTGGCGGTGCTTGTTTTGGATTCGAGGCTCGCCCTGACCACGACTGCTCCCCAAATCCTTCAATCTCAGGCTCCACGGCTCCACACTTCGTGAGAACGGACGTCTCCCGCCCTCGTCTCTCTCTGTTTCCTTTGTGCCATTTGTCGGTGTTCGTTCGTGCCGCCTCCCCTGGCGAGGGCACGGCGTTCGCGCCAATCGTCCCCGCTGCCCAGGTCGTGCCACGACCCGAGTTTACTTCATCCAGGGGTCTGGCCGACCGACGCGAGGCCCCGTTATCACATGCCGTTGCCTCTGGACCAGGCCCCTCGCGCGCACCTCCTCCGCCTCGATGCCGTCGACGATTCGGTGCGATAGACTACACCGTTCGGCTCAAGACGCTTTGCATTCCCTTGCCGCCCTTTGCGTTCCCTTCGGACAGGCGCAAAACGATTGAAGTCATGCCCAGTAACCGCCGAAACGAGCCTGAGGGTTGCCCTCTAGGGGGCAGAGCGACGCCCAGAGACGACATAACAGGTCACAAATACAGCCTCCGTCGAAGCAGTTCGGAATGAGCCCAGCGTGGCCGCACACCTGTCTGCCTGGGTGTATTCCTCTGGGCCTCCAGGATGCCTCCCGAGCCAATCTTGGAGCCATCTTTAGCGCCTCTGAGGCCCCCTTCTGTCCTCCTGCTCCTGGTCGCCCTTCTCCTCCCCCTCCTCCTTATCATCCTCGCTTGTTCCCCCATAAAAATAAGAAATGGGACGATGAAAAGGGCTGATGAGTTTGGGGGTGGAAGGGATGATGATGAGAGGAGGGGAGAAACGGATGGAGACGGGTAGGGAGAGGATTGAGGGGTCGTCTCAGTTCATAACCCGTCATGTGGGAGCACAGGTCCAGGTCTCTCAAATCCATCGAAGCCCGAGAAAGCACTCGGGCAAGTTGACCGATTTGCTCCCTGGTTCCCAGGGCTTGGGCTTCTCACGGCCGCGCTCGGCAAAGCTCGGCTGCGTCACCGGGGTGAGCCAGGCGGTGTCGTTGGGCCAAACGGTACTTCCCCTCGGCCCCAGGGATGTCCAACCCGCACACGGAGGAAGGCCCCGCAGGGCCGGGGCTCCGCTCGGAGGCCTCTGGTGGCACCGGCCTCCCTTCTCCCGCAAGGTTCGGACCTCCGACGATGGCCCGCACGGGCCCCTCGAGCTTCGGAGGAGGAGAAAGCCGTCGAACTGAGAAGCCTACCCTCCTCCTCCTCTTCCTCCTCCTCCTCCTCCTCCTCTTCCTCCCCCTCCTCCTCCTCCTCCTCCTCCTCCTCCTCCTCCTCCTCCTCCTCCTCCTCCTCCTCTCCTCCTCCTCCTCCTCCTCCTCCTCCTCCTCCTCCTCCTCCTCCTCCTCCTCCTCCTCCTCCTCCTCCTCCTCCCCCTCCCCTCCTCCTCCTCCTGGTCCTCCCCCCCTCCTCCTCGACTTCCTCCTCCTCCTCCTCCTCCTCCTCCTCCTCCTCCTCCTCCTCCTCTGAGTCGTCAAGCCTGGGTGGCTGGGCCCGGAGCGCGGGCCCACAACAGGCGCTTCCCGGGGTCTGTGGCCGTGCTGCGCACTCGCACCGCAGGAGAGTGCAGAGCGACTCTGGCAGGCCCTGGGACGTCTCCGACGACTGGAGTCAAGTCGGGCGTGTCCCTCTACAGGAGACATATGTTCCAACATAGATTAACAACTAGTCAGGGGACGATGTTTTGACGATGCTTGACTATTCGTTGAATCTTTTGTTTGGGCATTTCTCTCACATTTGTTCCTCCATAATCCCCCTGTCGGGGGGTCACGCCCGACTTGAGACTGGAGGCCTGCACAGCGTCATGCCGCGAGAACTTCCAGGTCCGACAGCTCCAGTCAAACCGCAACCCCGAGACTCGGGGCACCAGCTCGGCAGGCAAAGCCGAGGAGCCGACGGAGGATCCGAGAGCAGCAGAGCCGAGTTCTGTCAGCCTGAGCCCCGCAGCCCCCCACCCCTGCCTACTTCCTGAGCTCCACTCCTCCTCCTCCTCCAGGAGGAGGAGGAGGAGGCGGAGGAGGACCAGGAGGAGGAGGAGGAAGAGGAGGAAGACGAAGAGGAGGAGGAGGAGGAGGAGGAGGAGCTTCAGAGATCACTTTAAGTTCCCGTCTCTCCAGCCTCGTCGCAAACTCCTCCTCGACATCTGCGGGGACCTCGGCTTCACCGAGATCCAAGATAATCTCCGCAGTCCCGCCGATTCTTTCCTGTATCACGAAACCCCGCGTCGTGCGTCCAGCGGTGCAGGCGTCCCTGCCATTCAGCAACGTGCGACACGCCGCTTACGTCCCTTGATAGAAAGCTCCTGTTCTTCCTCGAGCGCCAACAACATTTGGCATCTTCTTGGCCCGCTCGTCGGCCAAACAGGTGCCTCTAAGCTGTCATTCATCTTCCCAGGTCTCAGCTTCCTGGAGGGATCGGTTGGCTTCGGCCTTCTTGACCTTGGCCGTGGTACCTACTTTGGACCACCACAGTCGCCACATGTGCCGGCGTTCGTTGCCGGGGTCGAGGGCGGTGGATGCGGAGGTCGCGCAAGCGATCGCACCAGCACAGTCGCTGAATCTTTCAAGCGGCATTCCGCCGCCCCAGTCACACGGTTGCTCACAAAAACGGACACGCATTGGAAATGGGTAGCCGCCCGTCGGCACCACCCCATACATGCAGGCCACAAACTGCCCAGCGAGATCAATCTGGACGATTTCCCAGGCAGCACGCCTGCAGGCACTGAGCTGCGCATGGACGGCCGATCTGTCCACAAAAACAAGTCCTCCCCATCTCTCCATTCTGGCATGGCCCCCACGAGGAGAGCCCAGTTCTCCTCGGGAGTCCCGGGGAACCCAAACCACTGCTCGGGGCTAATTAGGGAAACAGGCGCCTCGCGAAGAGCTCGGCCTCCTCCTCGCTAAGCTCGGCCACCCTCCAGGCAGCTTGATGAACCGAAGGCGGGAGGTCAGCACGTCGGAACCCGTCGACACAAGGACAGTCGAACCCTCGTTGGAAGAGGGTGCCTCGACAGATTCACAACGAGCCTGTCAGACACATCTTCTGTTGTGCTTTGCACGCCTCGCCCGAGGCCCACGAGTGCCCGTCAGGAGGCTCCGAACTCGTTTCCGCTCGTGCTTGGTGAGACGTGGGGAGGAGGAGGAGGAGGAGGAGGCGAAGGAGGAGGAGGAGGAGGAGGAGGAGGAGGAAGGGGACGACGAGGACGATGAGGAGGAGGAGGGGGACGACGAGGACGATGAGGAGGAGGAGGTGGATGAGGACGAGGATGCGGAGGAGGAGGCCGAGGAGGAGGAGGAAGGATGGAGGGAGGAAGGGAGGGAGGGATGGGCGCAGTATTAGGGATGATGCTGTCATAGTTGTTGTAGTTATTGTAGTAGTTGTTGTTGTGGCGGTTATTGCTATTGTTGTTGAAGATGATGATGGTGATGATATAAGGATGATGAGGATAATGATGGTGATGATGATTATGATAATACTGATGATGATGCTGATCATGACTATGATGATGATGATGATGCTGATGATGATGATAATACTGATGATGTTGATGGTGATGCTGTTGACGGTGACGTTTGACGTTGACGTTGACGTTGTGGTTGTTGTTGTTGTTGTTGATGTTGGTATTGTTGTTGTTGTTGTTGTTGTTGTTGTTGTTGTTGTTGTTGTTGTTGTTGTTGTGGTTGTCATTGTTGTTGTTGTTGTTAATTGTTTTGTTGTTGTTGTGGCTGTGGTTGTGGTTGCTGTTGTTATGTTTATGTTTGTTGTTGTTCATGTTGTTGTTATTAGTGTTGTGGTGGTTGTTGTTGTTGTTGTTGATGCTGTTATTGTTGTTGTTGTTGTTGTTGTTGTTGTTGTTGTTGTTGTTGTTGTTGTTTATGCTGTTGTTGAGTTGGCATGTCTAAAGAATAAGTGGTTGACCCCCCCTCCCCGGTAACCATTGTATTTTTCAATCAAGGTGCTTCTCCCGGGGCTCGCACCCTGTCTTTTACAAGGGAAAGCGAGGTGCTACCAAACTGCGCCCTTGGCCCTTGATGTACAACAGTAGCGACTTCCTCACAATTCATTCCCACATCGCGCTCTCGCGCGGGACTTTCTCACAATTTATGCAGAGATCGCGCTCGCGTGAGACTTTCTCGCGATGTATTCAGATGCCGCGCCCTCGACACTCTGCAGGAATCACGCTCTCGCTGTGGATTTCCCGACGATTTATATGGGAAGCGCGCTGTCGCCCGAGACTTCCTCGCGATTCGTGCAGGACTCACGCTTCAGCAACCCGCCTGCTCGACCTGGCCGCCTGGGCCCGCCTTCCCGACCCGCCTTTTAGGGTCTACATTCGATCTGCCCGTCTGGTTCTGCTACGCGTTTTCCGCTCCTCCTGCTACTCTCTCTCGTGCTCTATCCTCCTCCCTTCCCCTGGTCCCTTCCTTCAGCGTGGGCCTGTGTCGTGTCGCTCTTGGTGGGCCCGGATCGGCGCCGGTTCGTGCTGGTTCAGTTGGCGGGCCCTGCCAGTTCGTGCCAATTCGGCTAATCCGCTTGAGCCAGTTCAGCCAGTTCGGTTCGACCGGTTCGACTGGTTCGCCGGTTCGACCAGCCAGGCCGGTTCGCCCGGCAGAGGTGGCCGACCTTGTTCAGAGGCCCCGTGCAGCGCGGCGGAAGTGGCGTTGCTGCTGTTCCTCGCCCCCCTCATCCTCCCCCCTCCTTCCCTTCCCCTTCCGTGACCCCTCTCCCCCCTCCCCTATGGACGTGGCGGCGCCC